AGTGCTAGTTCTCAAGTGTTCCTTCTTGATGCTTTTATATTTTTATGGAAAAAGAGGATACTTTAGTGGTAACATGATGGATAGGTACTCCATTTTCTTGTCGGTCTCGCGTTCAGTGTTCTGAAACCTTTAGCAAATAAATCTTTTCTTTCTAAGCTGTATCTTAGCTGACAAGCACAAAAATTGCTACCACTTAATAAGCAATTGCAATTCCAGGCAAGACGTTTTTGCAAAGGTGCTTCTATCTGCTTCACAGTGTGCGAGCAAACAGAGCACAAAATAACTTTGTTCCACTGGTGTGCTACAGCTCTGTATTCCGAACCAGTCCGTCTCCTAGACTGGAAAGGAGTGAGACAGAATGTGGCAGCTGCTGTTAATTATTCGATTAATCCTACATTTATTATTTTCTTTCTCAGTTTCGAAGACATGATGAATTATAAACAGTTCCAAAGATAGGTGCCCTTTCTCTAGGCTGATAATTGAATCTTTTGAATTAGTATTAATTAACTGAAGAGGGGGAGGAGGATATTACATGGCTATTGACACATCTAAATTGGGTTCAGCTGTTCTGTAAGCTCAGCTTTAGCATTTGGAATATACAGAATTGAGAGTAAATGTTCATTATTTGAATTTCATCTGCAAAGTAACGTGAAAAAGTACTGCTTGTTCTCCAAACTGGTGCAGAAAAACAGCACATATAGAAATTTTGAATAATTTAAGAGCCCACTCTGTGATGACTAACAGCCTCTTGTAGTAGGCAAGCATGCAAAGAGTTCATACTTTGCATTTTGCCCAGTTCTTCTAGAGAAACAGAGCAGTAGATCTGTAGGAATTACATGTGGGTTTATTTCCTGGAACTCAACAATCTTCTCTTAATAATAGCTATTTTATGGCACTTAATTGTAAATTTGCTTGCAATTTTTTTTGTAATACAGGGCAATAATGTTTGCCACTGGGGCAGCACAGTGCTTTCTTACATTCCTACATAGCCGGTGAACCTTGAGCCTTTGACATAGAATAACATGCCACCTTCCAGAGTGCACCCAAGTCTGTCTGTCTGGCTTCTCTGTTTCCACTGGAAAAGGCAAAAGAAGTTTCAAGATTGTGAATACTTTTTTAATACTTCTGAAATCCATTGCAGCTTTTCAGGGTAAGGGTCAGGCTCAGTAACGAAGGAGGCTGAAAGAGGTTGTGTGCTCTGATCTCAGCTGAACAGCTGCAGTGGTTTGAACAGCAGAGGTATGAAGGAAAACCAGCTACTCAGTTGTTAAACTGAAAAATATTAATCCATGCAGCAAAAATTAGGCGGAACTTAGCAAGTTTTAAAGAGATACACACCTGCTCTAGCATACATACATGCAAATGTTACTTAAATGCAAATAGGATGCCTAGAAACCGAACAGCCAGATCACATTACTGTTCAGATGCATTAATCAAGATGGTTCATTTGTTTTCATATTATTACTCAAAAGATTTAATTAGCTTTTATTCTGGGGAAAAAAAATCATTATCATTCTGCAACTTCCTCTTATAAATCATAGCCTGACATGGAAGAGAGTCACCTTCTCAATAAGGAGGGATGTTCAGTGCTGAGAAAAGTTGCATTTTCATCTCCTCTAAGAAACTTGAACTTCAGGTTTTGAAGCAGAACAGGAGCATAGAAATGCTGCTGGCAACCTGCCTTTACAAAGTATTTTACATCACTATAGAAGGAAATATAGAGGATATACATCTTTCCACCAACAGCTATAGCAAGCAGCTTCTGTAAGACTGCAGCCTCACAATGCTCATTTCAGCATTTTTCATCCAACAAAAACTGCCATTTAAATTTCTGCCATAAGTGGTATGTTTTCCTGTCCATTCTGGTTTGAGTACTGAGTTACTTGGGGTGATTCCTCTGAGGGGCCGCAACCGCTGCTGCTGAAACCGAGGATCTTGGCAATCCTACTGGAAAAGCATCTCTGCGTATCTACAATCGCACTTCCCAAAACACGCCAGAAGCAAAGGAGCGGGAGGCTGCTGGTAACCAGCCTTTCAGCCAAGAAGCAGTTGCATGCCCAGCACGTGCGTAACGTGGGGAATAGCACATACGGTGAGCGCGTACCTTGTGTTTTGCCCCAGAGCCCCCTGACGCCTTGCCCATGTAACCGTGCCCCTAGAGCTTTCCTGACAAAGCAGCGTGTCCTTGGGGCTGGGTGTTGGCTGTCCCTCCTGGACCGTCACCATCTGGTAGGCTCCTGTAGCCCTAACTCCCCTCTCCCTGTGTGCTGGATAACCTGTGAGCTGGGGTGTGAATTCCTGCTTAGCTGTCTGACTTTGCAACAAGGAAAATAAAGCAGTGAAGTTCTGGTGTCCTCCAGTGCATTCCCACTACTCCTCCTGAAGAACATGCAGGTTTTCCCCCATTTGTCTCCAGATAGTAGGCCACTAACTTTAAACACAAAAAAACTGAAGACAGGCTCCCAGGGCAGTGACAATACCAATCATTGCAGCATGGCTTGGCAGCCCAGACGTCCACAGCCCGACCTAG